GTCCGTGTACATTTGCCTAGTGCATCCTACACATGCAAAGCCCCAGCCTCCAGGAAGCTGCCTGCAGCTCTCTCTCTGAGTCAGAAAACTTGTTCCAGTGCTGGTCCTCGGTCTCCAGGGACTCAGGCATACGGGGTGAGAAATGACAGTTAACCCCAGTGCGTGCGTCACTGTGTCTCCTCCTTGAGGATGTTGTGGTTCAGCTGATGTCTGCTCTGTTCCGCGCTCCTCCAGAGTGGGGCTGTGTCTGCCTCATCTCTCTCTGTCTCCAGGAATGAACAGGCGCTCAATAAACGTTTATTGACTTGAATACGCAGTTGTTATTGTGCCGCGGGGTAATTAGTCTTCAGGAGACAGTAATCCCCATAAATGAGCGTTACTTAAGACTCCCATTTGTAGCACTAGACCAAACTAGCATTTCTCTGTGTTTTTTAAAAAAGATTTATTTATTTATGCATACAGAACTGGGGTACAGGCCAGAAGGGCAGGGATGGTGAGAGGATTCACCAGAGACAGAGTGGGGAGCAGAACAGGCAGATCGACGAAGTACACTGCTGAGGGGAGCAGCGGGCGGGTCAGGAGAGGTCTGCTGCGCCATGTGGGTCAGCTCCCTGACTTGGGAGAGCTTCATAGTGCAGTGCTTTAACCTGTTGCACCACCAGGGGGAGCGCTCTCTGCATTTTAATCATTTCTTCAGCATCTATAATGTAGTGTGCCTGTAGATTCTAGGGTCATTTACCAGTTGTTGACCCTCGGTAGTGATAGGACAGAGCTGTTGTATTCAGTGTGCGGCTTCGTGGACATTGGCGGGTTTAAACCTCCTCATCTCTGGTGCTGCACAGTGAAGTAGCTCACCTGGCCAGGAGGGCAATCTCCGGAAGTTCCCCACCCTGGACCCCCCCACCCACTTCGTGGTGCAGGGACCAGGCCCCCAGTTTTCTGCTTATCCTCACTAAAGCTCAAGGCAAGGAAAACTTGAAAACTTCTCCCTCTGGGAGAACACAAGAGTGAAAGGAAAAGAGACTGTTGGCTCAGACAGCAGACATAAGTGCTGGGGCCTGTGTGTGCTGTGACCTTGTCCCCTGATATCCCGGGATCTCCTGGACCTCCTGTGAGCCCAGTGTGATTAGGTCAAGGGGGCTTATGGAGGCTGAGGAACTGCTGACTGGCATCCAGGAATTCCAGCTCAGCAATGGCACCCTGTTCTGTCTCTCGACAGAGGAGGTTCTCCCGGACATACTACTTGCTATTGATACAGAACCCAAAAGAAAGGGGAGGTGAAACAGCTTGAGCGTTTCCAACCAAGAATGGAAAACTTGATTCCAGTGCAAGGGAAGATGGAACCAGCGGGCGAGAAGGAAGCCTCAGGCCGAAAGCTGTGATCCTTTTGCTCCAGCCAGGACCCTGTGCCCATCATACCGGCAACAGCAGCAGGAGCAGCCACAAATGCTCATTCAGCCCAGTTAATCCTCCCAACACATCATAGGCTTCTGTGAGCCAGGTGTTTTTAATATCTGTATTTTACAAATGAGGAAACTGAGGCAGAAGAGGTTAATAGACTTATTCAGGTTAATTGCTCTTCTGTGAGCCAAGTATTTTTAATATCTGTATTTTACAAATGAGGAAACTGAGGCACAAAAGGTTAATAGACTTGTTCAGGGTCACTAATAATGAATGGAAGTCTTGGGATTTGCATGCAGGTGTTATTCTCAGGACCAGTCTTAGGATGAACATGACTTTTGTAGGAAAGGGTCCCACTTGCACAGCAGTGCTTCTCCAGGTGTGGGCCCCAGACCAGCAACATCAGCATCACCGGGGAGCTGGTTAGAAATGCAGATTCTGGGCCCTCCCTGGTGGCGCAGCGGGTTAAAGCACAGCAGCAAGAAGCCACTTCAGCATGAGTTAGATCCCCGCCCTGGAGGTGATCCACATGGCATAGCAGACCGCTCCTGTCTCGTCCACAACTCCCCTCAGCATTGTACTTCGTCAGTCAGCCCGTTCTGCTCCCCACTCTGTCTCCTGTGAATCTTCTCACCACCCCTAAGCCTCTGGCCTCTACCTCAGTTCTGTATGCATAAGTACATAAATTTTTAAAAAAGAAATGCAGGTTCTTTGGCCCAGCATAGACCTGCTGAATCAGACTCTGGCACTGAGACCCAGGCTTCTGTTTTGGGGGTGCCATCCAGGTGGTGTGCTCAGATCTTTACTGTAGCTCCTTCCCATGTTAGCTTTGGCTAAAATCTGTTATCCTACAGAAATCTTTACACACATAGAAATGTTAAAATTTATCAACAATGATAATGACAAACATTTATTCAGCCCTTACAATGTGCCAGACACTATGCAAAGTACTTTACCTCCAGTGTCTCATTTAGAAACAACAGTCTCCAAATAGCAATACCGTAAAGGATAGGTACTATTAGTATTCCTGTTTTACAGATGAAGCAGCTAAGATTCAGCAACCTGAAGTGGCTTGCTTAAAGTCACCAGCTGGTACATAGTAAGTTGGATTTAAATGCAGACACTCATTGCACCGTCCATAGCTTGAACCAAGGCTCATTTTTGCCATTTTGATTAAGAGCTGTTTAAGAGTGAGCACTGAAGTGAAAATGTTGATTTACCTTTTTAATTGAAAAAAAACCCTTTTAAAAACGGGTTGATTAAATATTTTGAACTCTTCCAATATTCTGAAACTAGTGTTTATTCTCAGAGCTTATTTATTACATTAAACCCGTCATTTCTTGAGTTTAAGGAAAAGTGGTTAATAACCTTCCTGGCCACAAGGGGGCAGCAAACAGTGCAGGTTGCTATTTGCAGCTATGTTGGGGGTGGGGGGAGGAAGTCCCAGCGTGCTCTGGGATGGAATTGGATTTTTCCCATGTACCGATTTCCTCTAGCCCTGCAGTTTTTCAGATCAGAAACTAAATGACAACAGTAGGTCTGCACAAGGACCGTTTAAATGCATTTATTATAGTGATATAGTTAGGCCTTTTGCTTTTTTTAAATCAGCATGACAATATTGACAATGAATGTCCTGTGTTGACATTGAGTGGTCCCATTTCTTAAACAATAAAGAGCTTGTTTAGTTGGAAACCCACTTATTTCTGAACAAAAACCAGGCAGTATTCTTTTTTACCTTCCTTATTGTTAATAATTTATTTGGTGTATTCGGAGAGTGTGGGATTTCGTGGTAGATATTTAGGAAAAGAAAAAATGTGTTCCTGGCTTCTAGTTTTAAGAGCATACAAGCATCCCGCAGTCATACTGGGGCCTCAGGTTTCCCCCACACCCAGAAAAACAAGATTTGGGGAACAGCTTCTGTGGGTCTAGATCTCCATTCCCACCCTGTGTGTCTCATCCAAGCCTGGGTTTCCATGCCAGACACTGCAGTCACTGGGATTTTGACTGAAATGACTTTAATAGCTTATTATCCAATCTGGGACACATTTTGAGAGTTAGGAAAAAAATTAAAAATAAAGACTATTCTTAATAACTCTCCAGAATGACAAACATAAACCGATTAAAACGTGCGCCGATTAAAACATGTGGCCACACTCATTACAAACCCCTGCTCCTTTCATTTCCCTGCTTTTGTGCCTCCAGTTATAGCACTGGCTCACGCACTGCGTGTTTCCTGTGTGCTTGGCTCACTACCTGTCCCACATTACGTCTCCTCCTAAGAACCCTCTCAGCTGATCATTATAACTTCTGTTTAACAGATTAAAAAAAAATTGAGACTTTCTAATTATAGTCACAGGCATATAGCAGAGTGATGGAGAGAGGGAGCCCTGAAGTCAGCTGCCTGGGTTTGAAGCCTAGTTATTAACTTTGGGTTGCACTCACTTTCTCTATCTGTAAAGTGGGTACAGTAGCTTAGTAGCAACTTCAGAGGGTTGACGGGAGGATTAAATGAGTATCTTTGACGTTTGACGAATGCCTTGTTTGCTGCCTCAGATGGTACAACGATGCTCTGTTTATTTTGTGCTATTAAACCTACTAAAGTAGGCTGGGATAATACACACGTTCTCCCTATCAAGTTTTCTTTTCCCTTGATGCTGGAGGTGGCCACAGGAGGTGGTAGGTAGCGTAGGTAGGGCGCGTCAAGGAGTTGTGGGTTTTAATGAAACAGGGAAGGCGCACCTGTGACTTCCCTGGTGCCACCTGGAGAAGCACCGTTTAGTGTAGGGTTGAAAAAGCAGCGCTGCAGGTGGTGCCTGCAGGCTGGCTACAAGCATCCCAGCTGCTGGCGAGGGGCTGGCCCTCAACTGGCCACGCCCCCTGGTGGCTGTGGGCCTCCAGCTCCTGCCTCCTCCCAGGGCCTGCCCAGGACACAGGGTAGTGAGCAGGTTTTGCATTTGTCACAGGGGTGTGTCTTTTGGGGGTATCTGTAAAAAGCACCCTCTGCACCCTTTTCGCTCAGATGATATTTTGCTGCAGGGTCACGCAGGTACCTGAGTGCTTCCCCACTGGTACAAGAGGGTCCCCATACTATTAAGCTCCCTCACAGTGCAGCATTCTGCCCACTCTCGGACCTGGCTGATAACAGGAGTTGGGACATGACACCTTCCATGTCCTCCATTTCTAGTAGTAGAGAATATATTTTGCTTCACTATTTTTAGAAGCAAGTGCCTACCACGTACCTAATTCGTTCTTTTTCTAAAAAAAAAAAAAAGTTCATGGGTTGCATGTCTTACTAGTAAAAAAGATGACCTTGTCCTAGATAATGAGAACTTAGAAATTTTTATATCCCTTTACACTACAGTTCTAAACCTGCTGAGCTAGTCTAAGAAAGACTGAACACACACCCATAATGCATAGAATGGTGTGCAAGAAGACATTTCGCACTTCACTTTTTAACTAGCAAGAGTCACAGTTACATTTCCTGACACAGAGGATCAGTGAACTAAATAAGAAGGTTGTATAAATGCCTAAAGACATGTGGAGGCATTTTGTCAGCCTGGGACCTGTGAGTGATCTCTTGTCTCTGACTTGCCTGCTAGTGTTTCGCTGTCCGCTCCCTGGGATGGGTAGAGATGGCCGAGGAGGACCTCGCTCCTGGGAAAAGCAGCGTTGCTGTCAACAACTGCATCAGGCAGCTTTCCTACTGCAAAAACGATATCCGCGATACTGTGGGCATTTGGGGAGAGGTAAGTAACACGGAAATAATCATCGGGGGTAGTTTTGACTCTCTGGCTCGTGAGCCTTCAGAGATCCATGTGATGTGGTACTACGGGGTACAGAAGCTGTTTATTGGGTGCACTGTCTCAGAAAGGCAGGTGCAGCTGACCCTTGAACACTGCAGGCTTGAACTTCATGGTTCCCTGAGGCAGATTTTCTTGTAAGTAGATACCATAGACTTAACAGTGGTAAGCTACTTCTGCAAAAGGAACAAATCTTAGCTAGGATTTAGAAGGACGTTGGTATAATTTATACAAATGTGTGAATGGTTATTGCCAAGTATTTGCTGTTTAAAAGAGATGAGAGAGATTCTAGAGGAATATCCAGTTAGGGGGAATCCAGGCCCTCCCTGGTGGTGCAGTGAGTCAAACACAGCACTGTGATGCTACCACAGCGGCTGTAGAGCCAGTTCGATCCATCAGAGTCTCAGAAAACCACCTATCAGTCAACTAAGCAGTAGGACTTCACTCAGAACATCTAACACTTTATGCTCTCAAACCAGACCAAAGAACAGCTTATCTGTCCTGGTTTGGGATTTGAAGATCACCAGGAAGCCTCACTGCCATGTGCTGGACCACCCTACTTTCAATGCTATGGCCTCTGGGTGACC